TAAAACTAGTAATAAGAAGGACCATCAGACAAAAATTTTTTATGCAAAGGTTCGAAGGAGTTCTTGGTCCTATCGATGGACCAGTGACAAGTTGCGAGGCGAGTTTCAAGTTTGAAGGTATTTGCATTGAATGTTACCCGTTAAAAGAGAGACAGAGAAAGGAACTCGACTACCCAAGCTCATTTCTTTATGTGTATACGCACGAATGACTCTGTAACTTCTCGAAATACAGTCAGCATGCAAATTAACTGGATTGCATGAGTAAGAGAGAGAACGGAGAATTCAGCAACAAGTCGTGTACCTAAGTAACTTTGAGGAACTTTTTCCAAGCACACATTCTCCGATATCTAATCTCTCGCAATATATACATTTGGATATCTGAATAATAAGGAAAAAATAACTCGCGTACAACGAAAACACGAGCGTGAAGAATTTCGGTCCGGCCTCTCACGTGCCGGGAAAATTTTTCTTTCATGAGGGAGAATGCGGCAGATCTGGGCAGGTCTGATACCCCGACGGTGGAGCGCATCGCTGACATTCCTTCCGCGATCCGGGATCCGCGCGAATCACCTGGATCGACCCAATTTCATTTTTTTCTCTACTGTCCACGTCCACGGTGATGAACATCGAGCGTGTGACGACTGTGAGAAATTTTGATAATCGTAAAATGAGTTTAGAGTATATAAAATAATATTTCCTAATATTATTACCAAAGTTAATTCGCGGGGTGCTACATTTATTTGTATTATCCGTATTTACATGCTCATCCAAGAGTAAATATAATGATGGCACGAATAATTGAAGCGCTACGCTCCGAGCCGGTTTAATTAAAAAATGCTAGTCTCGACTGGTCGTTCTCGAGCATAACTTATCGGAAACATAAACACGAGAGAGAACGGCGCGTATTAGCATAAAATAGCCTCAACTGGACCACTCGATCGAATTGAGATGGATGGAGAGAAGGTCAGAAAAAGGCAAGAACCAGATAAAGATAGGCAGAGAGATGAGTGGAGGTAAGAAAAAAAAACCAAATTGTCGAAGACTAGAAAGGGACGAAGGATTCCGAGGATCTAACATCCAACTACGCCAATGGCGCAACCTCATAAAACAAACGGTATAACGAGGCGTGGCCGTAAAACTGCTCCGGGCATTCTTCTTAGAGGCTCACCAACGCGAGTTTTAATATCGCGCGCCATTAGCCCTGCGTAGACCAAAGGATCCAACGATCCAACGATCAGCTCGAAAGTCAATGTCCACGAGCGCAAACGAAGCGGCGTTAGCGTAAGGCCGTAAAGGTAAGCGCAAGGAAAATGTCAGCTTCGCTGTGTGTGATCCACGATTTCGTAAAATTCCCATTGAGATGTGGAACTAGATCTAACAGGACTTACCGGTCAACTCGTCGGCGTCGACATCCCGCGTGACCAGAACGGCAATAGTGTGCGCGGCGGGGAGGCCCCAGGCCGCGACGGCACCGACGGTTGAGAATCCCTGCTGCGGTCCGAAACTATCCTCCTTGTAGTTGCCGGCCGTCCTCGTCCTCGTCCATTTTCTGGCCATTATGCACCACCAGGCGCATATCACGACCCACCTGCGATCCAAATCGTATCGAATAGCACCAAGACAAAGAGAAAGAGAGACTCGATATGTTGTTCGCCGAAGCGATTCGTTAGCTTAGATTCCTTAGATTCTACGATTTTGAAAATAACAATATCAAAAGTACATTATAAGATGTAAAAAGCGCAAGGATGTAATTTAGTAATTTAGTAAGCAAGGAGAGACAAAGTCTGCCGATGGCCGATGGACGTAGTTTTCGATCGCGTTCCGAGGCAGGAGCTTCCTCGAATCGATTGTACGGCCCTGCGAGTTTGCAGCTCGAATAAATAAAAGAAGAGGAAGGAAGGAAGAAAGGAAGAAAGGAACGAGAGGAGTCGAGAGAGCAGCCACTGCAGCCAGGCGGTAGAAGGAGTGAAGGAGCATGAGAGCGAGGCGGCCGTGTAAGTGTTTGCGCCTCGTTTGACCTGTTCGCGCTGCTTTTCGATCTTGTCGAAGAAAGAGAGAGGGAGAGAGAGAGAGAGAGAGAGACTCGCGTGATTAATTAGTCGGCTTTTCACCGCAACCGCTCTCTCGACGAACTGCGAACTGGTTGCTGGGGAGAACGGATTATAGGCGGCGTGCGGCGTGATAATACCGTGCGCGGTTGCACGTTGCACATTGCACGTAGTGCAGGGTGCTCGACTGCTCGACGCTGCTGCGAGAAGCGCGAGGACGAAGAAAGGCGCGTTCTGTCTCACGCGAGACCAGACCAGACCAGACCAGACCGGCACGCACCGCTGAACCATTGTTCGTTCCAGGCACCGAAACGGTTCTCAGCGAGTCGCCCGATCTCGATTCGCTGCTCTCCAAGTCTCGTCGCGGACGATTTACTACGCGTCGTACCGAGACTTGTCTTGTCGCGCGAAATCCCTCCCCCGTTACGTGCAAACGTAATCGCGTCCTTTGGAATTGACTATTGAGATGAAATGCTTAATATATCTCTACAATTAGAATTTGACAATATATTATAACGAACGACTGACGCGATATTAAAAAAATAGCTGGGAGGTAAAGCGATATAAAAAAAAGATCTCGTGTCTATTTATAAAGAATAAATTCTTTTCAGGTTGAATCGCGTCCCGAGTCCCGAGACGAGGCTATACCGAAAGCCTCGTCTCTCCGAAGGCGAAGGCGAAGGCGTAGGCAGTCAACCTCCTCGAGTGTGTTTGCCGCCGCTGGTATTTACCGAGTGAACAACGGTAGCCGTGTCTCTTGGCGCGCATCTACACGATCCACAGATCACCACCTCCCAACAGGTAGCCCTTGCACCTTTGCCGTAACACGGTGAAATAACACGGTGAACAGAGAAAATTAGGATTTATCTTTTTTAATAAATATATTTTCAGACGGTGCCGTTTTCCAGGTATTATCGCTCTCGTACGAAAGATGCGAAGCGATCGAGAAAGGTTTCGAGCGAACGTTGAATTTGATATCTTCATCGAAGGACTCGTCGCCAGGCAACCGAGTCTGAAATTGTGGAACGAAGGGGTTGGATTAACGCGACCGAGCGAGGAGATTTGGCAGATTCGCTAATTCCCTCCCGAAATTTATCGCATTGCCATTGGAAAAACAAAAACTTACCCACCGAATTCCGGTCGCGCGGTGATGAATGGAGTGACGCGACGCGCCCGACGCGATTATACTCGTGCACGTGGAACGTCGATAAAAAGGGAAAGAAAACAAAACCAAGGATCGCTTCGCGAGTCACGGGCTCAACACCGAATCGAATAGAAGTTTAGGCGTTTAGCGAGAGAATCACTAGCAAAAAAAAAGGAAAAGAAAAGGATGAGTTTGCTCGGCGTTTTCGATTCCTAGCGACGTCGATCGACGCGGCGCAGGCACGATTAATAAGAAGTAACGAGCTTGATCTTGTCAAAGTATGCGTAATAAGGCCGATTAGTCGTGGCCTTATTATGAGATTCTTCTCTCTCTCTCCTCGTGACCGCGCTGCTACACGGCTGGGTGGTCGACCACTCGCAGTTTCCGTGCAACGTCGGACTCGGACGCGGGAGGAGGGCAAAGAAGAGAGACTACCTAACGACTCGCTAACTAACAAAACAAACAAGAGGTAGCTAGTGCCCCTCTCATCTCATCTCACTGATTATATACCCCGCGGGACCCCTATACCCGACGATGCTTCTCTCTCGCTCTCGTCCCTTCCCGTTCCCACTCCACTTGGTTTCTTCTCCGTCCTCTTCTCTTTTTCTCGGACTCGCTCGGTCTCCTCTCGTGATCAATTCGCGATTCGCGAAAGGTTGACGTCGATGAACGTTCACTCGCGTGGAAAGGTTCGCTATGCGACATATGCGACGTACGCGACTTACCCCGAAAAAGATTGACGTAGGTGGAAAAAGCCTTTCGAGTCACGTACCTCTCGCGACTACGTTCTAAATTTACTTGCTGAATCAACTTTAATCGATTTATATTTTGCAACAAAATTTTATAAATGGAATAAGATTACATTTATATATACTTTCGATTCGAATTGTAGATCGTCTAACAACTAAGTCTAAAGTATACTTTGCGATATATCAATCGTATTTATATGTGTTATAAAAAGGTGGGACGCGCAGCGTTGTTTCGTCAACTTCGAAACGAACGAACGAACGCACCAGATAACGCTGGCGGCTTGTTATCGGAATCCTTTAGCGCTTTAGCCAGTTTAGCCTTAGCCGGATGGCCCCTTCCCGATGGTTCCCACTGGCTGCGTAGTCGTCGGTGGAGCTCTTATCTCGGATAAATTATCGAGAAATTCTCGGATCCGGGTCCTTAAGCTTAAGGCCCGGGTTGGGCCCTGGGTTCAGAGAGAGAGATGATGGATCAGCTCTTTCCTCGAGCCCTTCTTTCGACTCATCCTTTTTCCCTCGTTCTTGAGACGGCCGTCAAACTCTTGGAGCAGGGCGAACAGAGGTGAGGAACGAAGGAGGGAGAGAAAAGAGAGAAACGGAAACACGAAACTGCCGGATTACCTACCACCATGGGGCCGTACGATCTTCTCTGTCAATGGCGTAGCACCGCCGATTATCGATTCGATTCTTTGGGGCGAGAGATTCTAACAGACTCTTGCCTCTGATTGTTTCTTGCATTTTCGAATTGGACAATTTTTTAATTTCAGAATTTATGAATTTGTGTTTTCATGTACATTTTGATTTTTTAGTTTTATTATTTAACACAAAATGTTTCGTTAGCAATCGATCTTACAATCGTGAAGAAAAGACACATAAATAAAAAATAAAAAAATCCAAGAATTTTTTTTAATTAATCCATGAATTCTTGGCGTGGTTCTAATAAAAACAGAGCTCACAAATTCGAGAATTTTATGAGAACAAATTGTAATTTCTTTTTTATCCGCTAGAAATCTCGAGTCTAAAACTCGTTGCTTTTCGCGTAAACTTGACACATGTTACAGGAATAACGCGAAAAGGGACGTGGTGGAAGGGGCGAGACAGGACAATGCGTGGCTAGGACTGCAAGGCCCTACGGGTCCATGGTGCACGGCTCCGTGGTTTCGTGTTCGTGGGGCGCGATGTTTATCGGCTCTTTCGATGTAAATTATGGCCATACGGTATAGAGTTCGCTACACCACGGCGCACACAAAAGTATTCGGGCTTCGAGTTCAGGGTCGGATCTTTGCGATGGGTCTTAACCCATCGGCCCCATCGCCAAGATCCGATTTTTCATTTAAAACTTGATACTTTTCAATGAGCTCTTCTCGAAAGTATACGAAATGCAAAATAGGTAAACTATATCGATTCAAAACTGACAAAGATCGATAAAGAGAGCTGCGTGAAACGACGTTTCAACATTTATATAGTTGAATTTGCAAACAAATGTTTAGATAAATTTGAAAATCCACGACAAGACGATCGATTTTTCAAAACTCGTTTGCACACGCGCAACCGCAACGTGTATTCATATATTGTGAATCATCTTGTTTTTTGGTCTGAAGCGTCGCGTTGTTTCGTCCATCTCCTTTACCTTCCCGTTCTCCTCTCTCTTTCTCGTTCTGCTTTTCTCGCACTTTCTTTCTCCTTCTCAAGCAACTTGCTTTCTCTAAGATGGAATGCCATTGACTCCATGCATATCTGGCAACAAGGTTCCTCTCGACCCACCTCATATACTGGGTGACCCTCGTTTATCCGAGAAAACATTTATGAATGCAAAGAAACTGAAAGATTCCGAAAAATATATAAGTATGGATAAAAATCTCAGGATTACAGGTGGCAGTAATTTAGATGTCGAAAAATTTAAAGATTCTGAAATCAAGTATGCAGATATCGAAAATTTGATGAAAACAAGAATCGAAGAATAATCCAATTTACAAATAAGCTTTCCCTTCGTAACACGAATGTTATTAGAATTCCAAAATCGCGCAATGTCTCTCTTTGTGCATCGTGAAATTTTATATATTCTAAATCTAAAAATATATACGTCTATGTCGCGTTAAAAGTATATATTTTTTTATAAGACACGTTAAAACTTTCGAGTGCAAGTCTATTTTCTACGATGCGATGTAACATTGAATTATCGGAACAAACACGGGCGAACGGACGATTTTTTTGCTTATGCCACCCGTTAGACGCGTTAAGATGAGCCTCTCAGTATAAACGGGATGAGATGGGATGGGACGAGATGGGAGTCAGAGGCTCGTTAGCGGCACGAGGGGAGTCAACACTGTTGCCAGATTGTTATCCCTACCTCGGACGATGCAGTCTCGCCGCACCGAGGCGAGTGCAACAAGGCGCTTTGCAACACCCGACAACTTTGAAACATGTTACGCGAGGATCATCCGATTCTTGCACCTGCGCAATTAAAATCTAGTAATAGCGATAAACAAAACTTGCTGAAATTCTTTCTTCGCCAAACGACATTGGATCAACGCCAAATACACCAACATTCCGCGTTGTTGATATTATAAATACGATAAACTAAAAGATTTCAAGAAGATGTAATCGTTATCCAGACGAAGAGTTTACGATCATTAATCATCTTGAAATGATGCAAAAGAAATGTTTCAAACAAACTTACCAAACGATCGCTGCGTTTCCGAAATAGTAGAGTAGTAAAAAGACGACGGCGCAATACGGATTAGCTAGACCGTCTTGCGTTAGATACTGTTGCTGTTGTTGTTGTTGCTGCTGAGCCAAGACAGCTTGATCCTGAGGATGTAACGGAATCGCGGGAGTGCAGGCGACGTTTAGCCGGCCGGCAGCCAATCGAATCACGTAGCCAATTGCGACTGCCGCATGACAGATCGTCAAGAAGACTATCGCCCGCTCTGTAAGCGAATATATTATCTTTGTTATTTTTTAAAAGCCCATATATCTTTGAGAATTTAAATCCGATAGGGTGAAAAAACGACATTCGAAATATCGCTCAAACGGCAATATTATATTCCAAGTTCTCGAGATTGAAAGATTGAATATTCGAAATTCAAAGTTAACGCAGAGAATAACACGTGTTGCGAGTTCTCTTTTCAGTTTGCAAGATTCTTACCTGCGGTAGTGGTTAATATAGGTCGTTTGCGCGGCTTCAAAAGTGTCAGGATAGCGATCGCGACGGAGACCAGGCATACCGTCGCGAACACGGCCATCCAGGCTTCCGCGAGCCTCTTGTCCTTTTGAGACCAGAGGATATCGGCGTCACAAGCGGCGGCGCATCTTCCAGAGCGATTTAGGAAGATGTACAATCCAGACTTGGCATACCAGGAGCAGCCCCAGGGTCCGTTGCTGGTGCTCACCGCCTGGATGAATGAACGACGATATTTAGTTGAGTGACACGTTCGTTAATCATATCATCGTGGCTGAATCGTCGCTAAAATACCTGGATAGGATTAGCCGGTCCTGGCTCGCCCGGTCCTTCCATGCACATGTGCTGGTGATTGTTCTCCGGTGGAAACTTGGAGCAGTTCAACGCGGCGGGCCAGGGAAAGCCGAATCCCTGAAGAACCGGGAAACAGCGAGCCCGCACTTGCTCGCATAGACCTCGACAAGGGCCGATAGGTGCGGGGACTTTCTCGGTACACATCGGGGCGTATACCGAACACAAAAACAGGTGCAATTGCGCGCTGTAACAACGTACGAACAAAATGCAAAAATTATTATTATTATTAAATAAAAAATATATCTATAATATATAGATAGTAATAGAACGAAATCAGCTGATATAAATAATGCAAGGCCGATAAGCCCAACGTGGTTCTGTCACGTATTAAGAAAATCGCTTTATATTATTATACGATTACGATAAACGACAGAAGAATTTAGGCGAATGCGAAGAAAGCGCATTTACCTGCATCCGTATTGAATGAGCGGGCTGAATGTTTGTAAAGTAAAATCGGCGTCCCCTTGAATCTCGTGACCAACTAGATTCGGCATAACAGTGACGTTGTAGCCGAGGCCACGGCACATCTCGATCCTGATCGGTTCGCAGGCGCCGTGCGCGCACCATATCGCCCGTACCAACGTCAACAACGGCAACAATATCCAACGCATTTTCCACGTTTCCAAAACACGTTTTCCAAATCGCTATCGTAAACGTCACGTCAAATTTTCAGTGTATGTCACTCGCCACGCGCCGTCGATCGAGCGACTTGCCGGGATCGGGATCAGGATCGTGCATCTCTCTCTCTCTCTCTGCTCTCATACGAAAATTTCAATTAGAAACTCTAAAAAAGTAAAACATACGACATGGAATATATAGAAGGGACGTAGTACTTATTGTTAATCATTTTTATCAAGATTGTTATAAACTTGATTTTAATTGAAATCTGTCTAGTCAGAATTAAAAAGGTGAAAATTTAAAATACAGAGACGCATCACGCATGCATCGAGACAGAGCGTGCATAAAGATTTAATTTTGTTTTCATTTAACTGGACTCACTTTCTTGTCATACGTACGGTCCTGTCCACAGCTTTATCTAAAGCGAGCCGTCAAATTCAATCTCGACTTAACGAGCAGTTTATAATAATCAACTTGCGCCTCGGTTAAATGAGATCACGTTAACCGGAGTCTTTGTCTTTCTCCAGGGTAGATTCGGTCTTGGTTTCCAACAACCGACAATCAGATTTCAACGCGACTCGATGAACGTTCACACACGCGACACACGCACTGCACGCATACACTTCAATTTAATAATTTAGAACGTAGAAATATATTTTAAAGATAAAGTATAAATAAACTTTACTTTATACAACTTTGTTGAAACGGACCTTGTTTCTTTCCGGCCCCTGAGAAGGAGCAGTTTGCGTCATTGCGGAACAAACCAAAACCATGTTTACGCGAGCACATGCGCACGTACGTTACGCACGCACGCACACCCGCACGCATGCATGCATGCATGCACGCACACAAGCAGCAATGATCAATAACGATCCACGATTCAGCAATCAGCGGGAGCGCGATTTTTCGAATGCGAAGGTAGTACAAGCGGACGATCGACGATCACAAAGGCGGCCGCATACTTAATCGGTCGCGTTCTCACTCTCACGTCTCACGTAGAAACGCCACGCCACATGTCGGCCAATCACGGAAGGCGATCGCGCGTACTACAATAACTACAACGATCCTTCGGGCGGATCATCATCATCGCGTGCGATCATTTAACGCAAGTTAATCGCGAACGTAATGACCGGCCCGAACGCGCTATCGGCTATCCTCCCTCGTCGAAGGTTTACGGGCGACTAAACCATTAAACGCTGAAACCGGCTGAAAACGCTCGCCGACGACGCCGACTCGGCCGACTCGCCGTCGCCCTCCGCCCTCCGCCCTCGCCCGCGGAACGGATCGCGCTCGCGCATCGCGCCCTAGCGTCACCTAGCGTGACGTCTGTTTATTCCTGACCTCCCCTCCATCCTTCTTTCGCTTGTGTTGTGTTCGCTTCTTTACAGGGCCTTCTCTGGCGGCAGGCGGACGGCGGGCCTGCCTTGGCTGCCTTTCCCTCTCCTCCAAGCCAGCCGAGTCTCCATCAGCAGGGATTTGAGGATTTCCGTCGTGCTCTTACAAATGCAAACTCGTCCGCGCCTCGCGCCTTCTCCACTAACTCCACTTCTCCGTCTCCGTGTGGCGATTGATTCGATTGATTCTGATTGATTACTCCGCGTTTGCTATGCACTGCACTATATGCGATGTGCGATATGCGGAATTATTTTTATATTTGACACTTTACATACGCGTATATGTATAATATAATTTATGACGAGAAAGAGAGAGAGAGAGAGAGAGAGAGAGAGGATATATTTCTTAAATATGAGCGGTTAAGCAAAAGCGCGTAGCAAATAGCAAGGAAACTCATTTTTGTATATAAAAGAAATGATCGACATTTTAAGAGACCTTACTGTTTGATATATATATGTAAAAATTGGACGTAAAATGTCTAGCAAGTTGGAATTTTAACGCGAAAAGAGGTTTCTCCCGTTTCAGCGCAGCTGTTACACCTATACGAGATCCGTCAAGGGTCAAGAGTAGATTAGGAGGAAGGGAAGGTCACGTTCTCATTATCATTATATCCCGACGTTTGGCAGCAGTCAAGACTGGCTTTACGGCCTGTATTTTCTTGGTATAATTAAACATATTAAAACAGAAGATCCTCGTCCGTGTCGTCGAGGACGTTGGCGCTCCGAGTGAAATTGTGAGAGACGCGTCCGTCCAGATGATCGTGATGTCGCCGCTTCGTCTTCCATTCCCGTATCTTCTTAAGGCGATAGACGTCCTCCCGCTCGTATTCGTCGAGCTCGGTGACGATGTAGGCGAGGGTCCGTTCCAACCGCGGTATAATGACGTGTCGGAGAGCGTTTAAGCGACGTCTCGTCGCCTTGACTGCCCGATCGAGGATCTGGAAATTGCGCTGCAACGACGCCACGTCGACCAGCAGATCGATCGCCTTCCCGTAATTTATCTTTAGTCTAGCTACCTGCTGACATATATCGAGCAGTTTTACTTTGCGCGACGCGCGACGTACTGACAGCGAGTAACATGTATGGCGCGTGGCGCGTGCGGCACGCACTTGTTGACCGCCTCTAGCTAATCCGGCAAACTCGAAGGGATCGGCGCCGCTACGGAAAGACTCGTAGATCCATAGTCGAATCCCACCGATCATCTCCTGTCTGGATTGAACCTTGGTCTTGGCCTTGTCGACCGCCTGCAGGACCAGCTCGTTCACCCCACCTGTCGCGTACGTGACTTCGACCAACGAGAAGGCTGCGTCCCTCATAACTTGGCCGAGTTGAGATTTGCTCTTGAGTAACTGCCCCGTGATCGCGCGAAATCGGATTAAGAGACCGTCGACCCGTTTCGCGAGGAGATCGCGGCCCCTGCGGGCGCAGATCAAGCGGCATTTCACATTCGTGTACGAACTGGACGTCGGGAAAACCGCCAGTCTGTCTACGATCTCCATGATTCTTTCGTTCTTTCGACGACTCCATCGTACGCGTGAATTATGACGATCGACGATCAGTTTTATCAATTTTTTCATAACGAAAAAGATTACGATTTTCAATTTTAAGGAGGTTCTACAGGTACTCTCTAGTCAGTTGAGAGATGAAGAGAAAATCTTCAAATTCATCGATTCTAAGTATTCATAAAATATTTTCGTGAATTTTGATGACGTTAGAGCTTATATCATACCCATATTAGTCGAAGCGAGGAATAATTAAAAATATCGTGTAAGTGCTCCTTTGACTCTGGCGGCTTATAATGGAAGAAAATGTGGTAACGTCGCGAACTTGACAGTTCTGCTCATATGACCGTTATTTCACAATTTCACATAATTCTAGAGTAGGTACTTCTCCGTAAGCGCTCGTAAACGTTAGGTGCTTAAGTTTGAGGTGCTGTCATACTGTGGTGCTGTACTGGCTGTACACTTTTCGCGCGGGTGCAGTCGCTGCGACATTGTCAAATCTCCCTTGTTATTCGAAGCACGCTACGTGAACTGTGATATGGCCTGTTTCAATAGCCAATATCACAAAACTTTACGCGATAACCCTAGTTTTTCTCGATATTTCTGAAAAGGTTAGATTAAGATCTATAAGAGCTCCGTTTTTTTAATCTCTGGTAGGTCGTCTTTATATAATTAATATCTCGTTTCCTGTCTCCAAAAGCCCCTCTGCCATATGTAGCTTATGTTAAAAACTGTGATTTCAAAATTCATTTTTGCAAATTTTTACACGGTAACTGATGCTAAAATTTTTCGAGCACTTTTCTCGCATCTCAATTTATACGTCCATAAAGTTTTTTCCAATTTTCAGATACATCCATTATCTGTAGAACCTCCTTAACTGTAGGTATCGCTGTGTCGTCAACTGTATTCACGTAATACAGAAAGATATAGACCTTCACACATGAGCATCGGTGGTTCAGTGGTAGAATGCTCGCCTGCCACGCGGGCGGCCCGGGTTCGATTCCCGGCCGATGCAACTTAATTTTTTTTCTTTTTTTTTCTTTTTGGTAAAATTTATATCTAAAATATATATAAAAAATATATAGGAAACATATTAAAAAAATTAAATACGTCCTCTTTCTTGAATGATTATAGATCGTTCGCGCATGGACAAAAATAAAGTTGCATCGGCCGGGAATCGAACCCGGGCCGCCCGCGTGGCAGGCGAGCATTCTACCACTGAACCACCGATGCTCATGCTTGACTCTCATAGCTTTAGTATTTTCACATTAATATCAGTTTCTCGTTTTCTAAACGACCGCTTTCAACAATTTATCATATCTAAAAACGGTAATTTAAATTTCAAGATAGAAAACCGCGTATAATATTTTAAACAATTTATTGTTGACAAACGTGTTTATAAAATTACCATCTGCCGACGGTTATCTTATTGAAATAAATTATGAAAACAATTTCAAACGATGAATTTTTATTAAACAGATTATCCATGTTTGTTTATTAATATTTAGCCTCTACCAAAGTTAATGATTCAAGTCCCAATACTGTTCGCCGTACTCTCCATTTTTGTTACCCCATTTCACCTAAAATGTAACAAACTATAAATAAATTACATTTAAATAGATATGTTAATAAATCGATCAATATTCAAGATGTTACTTTGATTAACGAAAGAGTGTTCTAAGACGTTCTAAGATGTGAAATATAGAATAACGTTTATGTATAAAATATGATGATTATATAATGCTAGGTCTACAATGCTCCTATTCTCCTCAAATTCGATTGCGCGTGGTCCATTTCCTACTATTCACGACCCACGACTCGCATTGTAGACCCCGCATAAATGGCATTATATGTGTACAAGTGAATAATATTCTTATATTATATACTTATATGTATAATCGTTAAATACAAAAGGTGTGCGTACCTTGCCGCTATAACGATTATTGTCAAAATCTTTTCGTTCGAATCTTTGTTCCCATTCAGTAGGATTCTCACAGACATGACCAAATTCAACTTTAAGAGGTGCCAGATGTTCCGAAAATATGTCTCTACATCACATAAGATGAACGTCATCGAAAGTACATTTATCATTTTTTGTCATTTTGAGAATAAATATTATTATATTAAACTTACTTTAAACAATCTACAATTCATGTTAGAATTTAGGATTCTATTTAAACTGTTGGGCGGATCAAACGAAAAACATTTAAAAGTACACGACATATAAAGTTATAAATAGAATTCTATCCTAAAATCTGAGAGCCAGGTATAAATCGTTTAAAGAGGTCTTTACTCACTGGAAGTATTGCCCCATCGACAAAATATCCTCTGTTCTTTCCTGTCTTGAGGTTTCTTCTTTATTCGCAATTTGTAAATTTAATTGTAATTAAATATAAAACAAATTAATATATATACAATATAGTATTATAATATGACGCACAATTTAGAATCACGATTCACTCGTGACACGATACTTACCTGTTAAAGCCATTTCTGTAAGTTTTTCCAGTAAATTGGCCGTGACAGAATTTACGACAAGTATTAACGTTGCGATTTGTGCCAAAAGTAAATTGTAATTATATTTCGTTTGCATTGTTAAATCTAGTATATTACTTTGAAACTTGCAATGTGAGAAAGTAAGCAATCCGTTGACGTCTCGTTGAATGAATGCCAAGTACTGAACGCGTATTGAATAGGAGAAATTATGGTCTCTACGCCTTACGACTTTTTTTCGGATGGTACGCTCTATTTAGTAGAATAGTGAAAGTATATTAGCGTAATGCATCATTGTAGAATCTATTTTAAAATGTAAAATATATTTTACGAACAGTATATACTATAATAAACAGGACAGTTGCAAAATTATTCCAAAAATTATAATTCTCTATTTTGCATAGCATTTTATTTCTCTCTGTAAATTACAATTAATGAAGCAAACACTTAATCAAGATTAAGGAATAGCATTTGAATTATTCGATTATTTATCGTATGACAGAAGATTACTATGTTTTGCACACTTGATCAGGGATTGAATTAACTTGACAAATCCAGTATCCTTTGGTTTCTCCAGACCGCGGAGCACACGGTTCTTCATCACAGCGACAAACTCCCGATTGCTAAGTTGTCCGTCCACTGTGAAACAAATGAAATAAGATCCGCGATAAATAATTTAACCATTTAAAATATATTTTGTATATTTTGTATATTTAATACACATTGATGCCATCATGCTATGAATATTTGCAAGAGAATAAAATTTCTTTCTTTTCTTCCACTTTAACGCAAATAATATTTCTATTAATAAAAATTAACTCACTGTTCTCGTCGAAAATTGTGTATACCACTTGAATAATATGGTCACTCAGATCAACGTGTGCTACAGTTTTTGCTACATGTTTTAATGTCGCTGCAATATTATAAAAAATTATAATAAAATAGGAATAAAAAAAATATATCAATAAAGATGCAGTTGGCTTGATATTTTAAATTATTAATTTTTACAATCAATGAATCATAATTATTCTAAATTATTTTATTATTTAAGTTTTAGTTGGAACATTTGTAACTGGAGTTACAATTATTTTATATGTACCTTGATCGATAGATGCACCAGCTATATGGTAGAATGTGAGAGCTGTATCAACGTCGTTAATATTATTTAAAAAGTGGAAAAACTTGAGGTATTCCTCTTTGCTGATTCCTTTCGGATCTTCTTTAAAGCTGTACATAATTGACGTTTAACTATAGAATAATTATTGAAATCTTATAAAAATTGAACATTTTCACACTCACGTCTTCTTCACCCTCTTCAACATTTTTGCTTTTTTTTTCGCTGGATATCCAGCATAAGCCAACAATAATTCTGTAAAATCTGTCTCAGTGATATTGCCATGTTCGTCCGGATTTCGTCGTTCAAACTAAACAGAAATAGACAAATATTGAACAATAACCAAATATTGAAGAATATTAAATTGGTGGATGTACATTAATAGCGAATCCAAATTTGTGGGATTGATTATTATACCTCAAGACTCAGAATTTCTCGTTGTAGCTGCTGCTGGAAGTCCAAGAATTTTTCGATCGTTAGCTTCTGATTCATTTGTGGTCCAAAGAAGTATGTTGTTAGCGCAGAATTTACTCCCTAAAATCTCAATAAAAGTTAAGATTTTGACTATTCAATAAAGTCTGATCGTTTCCACACACTTATACATTCAAATTAACGAGTGTTTAATATATTATTGTTCACAATGATAAATATTAATGATAAAACACCTTAAAGGTGCTTCCCGTGGTTGCATGATCGCGATGTCGAGTACCTATACTAGTTTGTTGCCGTATCAATGTAGCTACTTTCCCAAACTCTTCGGAATCGACATCGCCATCTCCGTTGAAGTCAAACATTCTGAAGGCGATTTCAAAATGACGTCTAGAAGCTATAAAACAGATTTAGATTGAAACTTGGTAACTTTGTATCATATTGGAACTTTGAGAAGTTCAGTTGATATCTATTTAAATAAAAGTATTCTAGACAGATTTTTCAATAAATTTCTTGTTACAAAAATATCTTCCTATTACACAATTAAAGATTGACGAAATAACAAGGAGCTCACTTGATAATACGGTCAGCAGAAAGATGTAATCGGAGAAAGTAATAAGACCTGCACTGCCCAGTTTGTAGAAGATGCTATCTTCGTCCAATTCTAATTCTAATTTGGTGTGAATATTCTAAACAAAGAAGAAAGCATTTCTATAGAAATACCTTGTGCTTAGTATTTTGTTATTTAATTTCAATTTTGTTATTTAATGTACCTTTGGATCATAACGCTTGTACTGGTCTAGTCCAAGACCTGAAAGTTTATGATACAATCCTTACTATCGTAGTCATTTTTTATAATAGTGTAAAAATGTCTACAACGAAATGTAAACTCCATAATACGGTCAAGAAAAAATTATAATTTGAATACGTTAGTTGATTTGCACATGTAGAGAAGCTGCCACAAGAAATCAGCAAGCACCTCACAATCGATTCGAAATATTGTATTGAGCGATATTTAATTCAAAAATGAGGAAAGGCGCACAGGATGATGTAGGATTACCGTCGGGCTGTTTCACGCCGGGTGTCATTGATCTTAAAAAATCATCCGGTGTCATAAATACTTCGTGTATGTCGTTGCTTGTGACCTGGAGGGTTGCAAAGTAACGGAACACTTTGTCTGGCGTCGAATAATGCCTCATACGGTTTTCATATTCTATTATCTGCGCATACATATAGTTAATCGCGACACAGTTAATTGCGAGTTTTAAAGGGGTGCAAATTACAGGCTCTTAACTGTAGAAAATTAATACCTGTGCAATAATGTTATATATGTTCGACTTTGACAAGTGTTTACTTGGTATTAGATGAGAAATTAGTATATGCAAAATATTTTAATTAGCAGAGCGAAGCAGGTAAGTTGTGATTAATAGGATTTAATGTAACTGTGAGCAAAATGGAATGTGTACATTCCATAATCATATTTCGATACCAATATAATCAAAATTTTCAGGAAGCCCTACCATGTGGCTGTTGCATGCCTGGGGTGATAGCTCGAAGAAAATCATCAGGTATCATATAGACTTCAGTACCTTTTAAACTAGTTACGCTCACAGTCGCGAAGTAACGAAAAATTTTGCTTGGTGTCGAATACGCTCTAATCCTGTTCTCGTACTCTATTATCTGTAAAAACACTTCAGCCTGCATCGTTCTGCTGCATAGATACATGCTGATGCAAATAAAGAATCAAGTCGCAAGATCTATAGTATATTGTTCTATCTAACGATGCAGGAATAATGGAGAAATATTATTGTTACATATGCATCTCTTTCTTATTTTATTATGCGATTAATCCTAGCTTTGGAATGTTGATTGAAATAATTCTGATAATTGAAAGAATGATTCTAACGTGCACGTATGTCATTATGGATAGTGCAAGTTTTCAATAAACCTTTCTATCACGAAATCCAATCTTCTGTTTTCTGTTCTTCTTCTTTTTTTGTAAATCCTGTTCTATATTTGCCATGCTTTCATCGTTCTGAGTCTCTTCTGCTACGATGCTGGCAGCATCTACTTTAGGTACTATATTAAGCAGACTGAAATAAAATAATACATTGGTATACCAAGTAAAATTTAATGTTTTCAGCATTTAATTATAATTAATATTATTAACTTACCGCTGCCAATCCAAACAGTTTATAACCATACCAGCACTAAAAATTACAAATGGGATAATAGTGGAAAGGCGAGTTTTTTTTCTAGTGTGACCAAAATTTCTGAAATTACGAATCTGATTGTATTCGTACGCATTTTTCCTGTAATTTTTCTGTAATTGTACAAAATAGAGGGTATCAATGGTTAAAAACTTCCGTCGCAGATACTGTTGGAATAAGCATGTGCCTCTGCTGAGCAGCATTGTCACAGCTGTAACTCTGAAAAAAATAGAAGTTATATTAATCATTACATTAACTTAAAGATTTTTACAGAATTTAACTGTATTAAGAGCAGTCGGATAAATTGAAGGTGTAAAACTGTAAAAAATGTATACTATTTAGGTTTATTTTCATATAATTAATTACTAATATTATTTTAGGTGACTTGTAATCAGCATTAATAAATGTATACATGAGTACCTTACCTAATGCGTATTTACTTTATGGAATGAGTTCCTCACATACGTGTGTCTAAAAATTCTTACAACGAGAACGAAAAACAGAAAAACACCTCCAACCAACAGCTCTAACCTCTAACCTCTACCTGCAAAAAACAGCAGAAAATTCGGAGTTCGGAGTTCGGAGTTCGGACATTCGACATTCGACATTCGACTGATTCGAGATTCGACCCAATTCGATCATTCGACCCATGACTCATGAGATAGCCGCTTGTCGGCTTGTGCGCATTGTGCGCATGCATCGTGATGATTTCACTCGCAACAGTTTGTAGTCTTGGGTGATAATGGTATTGCGCGTGCGCAATGTAGAACAGTAAAACCGGATGTGTACGTTTGCCCATCATACGTAATAGAGAGCTACGATTTCTGACGGTTTCTCATACTTTTTTTGCCTCTCGGAAGAGTTGCAGTTATTGGTTTTTAGTTTTTACGGATTAGATATTCCGGAGAAATCGTCGCATATCAAAGGTCTTCCTCGTGAGTTGATCCAGAGAGAAGGTTTCAAGTTTCAAACGGTTCGGAGTTCGAAGCTGACTGCTGAGAGTGCTGAACGGGTGGTTGGTGGTTTATTCGTTCTCGTCCTCGACGCGACCGATGTGGAGTGTGGAGGCTCCACGCGAGTCTCCCCGACAAATCGCTCGAAAATGCAAGTGCAGGAGGCCGAAGGCGCGGATGGTGAGTAAATATACGTTCTGCGTCATCCAAGACACTCCGATTTCGCGATCATTGGATTTCCTACCGTTCGTAAAAGGGCTATCGATCCTTCCTTGTTCCTCGGCTAACATAACCTTCAGTAGCCTATTGGCTTGGTGATTCCCGATCTTTATCACATTATTTTCAAGTTGAGGTGATCCTAAAGCTGTCTGTAATACGAACACTCGTTTTTAACAATATTTGCTTCGTATAAAAATTCTACAACTTGATGTTACAAAATGAGGGTGCAGGTCCATTCAGTAGACATCAAGGAATATCATACCGTTTGTAGAATTAGGCTGAGACTCCAAACAAAAAAGTTAAAC